GAGACGTGGACACCTGGAACAGATGCATCCTGAAAGAAAAAGCCTACTATGCGTAGCGCCAGGCTGCAGTTTCCCTCAGGTCTTCAATTTAAAACACACACACACACAAATCTCTTACAAGAGAATGCCTCCCACGGATGGACTAGCTTTTATTCGTTTTAGAATGGATGTAACATGTCTACAGGCAAGTCAAACTGAACACCATGTGGTCAAAGGAGTCCACGTAAACCGTTCCGCGATACATCTGGCTAAGGGCCTCCCCATGAATGAGGACCGACAGGAAAGGTAGTGTTACTTTAGCTCAATATCTAAGTGTGGCTGTAAAATTTTTATGGTTTTGTTTTTCTTATGTGAGTCATAGAACTGGCTCTGAAGGCAGTTCTTTCACAGGAGAGTTTTAGAAAATGCCTTAGGCTCCGGCGGTACCGGAGCCAGTGGCCAGCCTCTCCAGGAGGTCACTAGGAGAGGTTTAACTGGGGCGCATAAAGGGTGGCACTCCTGTGCAAAGTCAGTCTTCCTCATTTGGGAACAGCTTCCTCCTGAGAGGCTGCCCCACACTGAGGTGGTGGTTATTGTTCAGATATAATGTGAGGTTAGTGCTCTGCCACTTGAAGAATGAGTCATTCCCCATAACCTGGCCCACGTGCGTGGGCAGGCAGCGCTGGGAATGCAGCCATCCAGAGATCCTCCTCTTCCTTCTGCACCGCTGCTTTACCATATGTGTCTCCGCCACACGGGATAATTAATCACTTATGTCTGGGGAACATTTTACTTTCCAAAATATGTGTAATGGTTTGTGAAACTGCTTTCTATGCTCTAACTCTGGAAACAGAAAGGATTTCTAAGTGTTTTGATTGAGTCAGGATTTCCGTTCTCAGGCATTAGGGCACCTACTCAGGGTCAGATCTTATGTGGTGTCTGACGAGGTATTGCAGGAATCATCTGGGAGATGAATCCGTCAGTGACATCTGTGTCTTCCCTGTAGGTAACTCTGCAGCTCAACGGCTCTCATGCCACACCTGTTTAGTTACCTAATGCACAAAGGCACAGAAACTGCTGCCGGCCATCGGTGTGGGCTGGGAGGTCTCCACTCTCTTCCCTGTGGGAGCCTGTGGTCGGTGCAGTCAGTCGTTTCCCCTCCTGCTCTGCCCAGGACAGTCTGGTTGAGGCCTGCCATCTGGCCTAACTAATGGTAATGCTTTCTCTCCTCAGAAGTACGCAGGTTTGGACGATAAGACGTCATCCCTTTCTGTAGGGCTTGTTTCAGCACAGGGCTGAGCATCTGAAACGTGGCCCTGGGCTCCAGGCCTGCTCACATGCACCTCCCTGCCCGGGGAGCTTCATAGCACTGAGAGACCAGAACTCAGCACTGCCCCCATGTGCAGACTCTCCTAATGGTCTCCAGCCTCAGAGGGGCATGCTGCGCAGCGCCACAGTGTTTGGGAGTGCAGGGGTGGCAGAAACAAGTCAAATGACAACCCTAAGACTTATCTCCCTTTCTCTCTCTCTCTTTCTCATCTATCTCATCTATTATCTATCTACTAGAGGCCTAGTGTATGATATGTGCACAGGTGGGGTCCCTCAGCCTGGCCTGCAGAGATCAGGCTGAAACTGGCTTTCTGACATCCCCCGAAGGGTCCCAGATTGTGAGAGGTTCTGAGTGTGTCACCTAAGAACTGCAGCTGCCAACTCATTGCAGCGCGGCAGTTTCTGTGTTGAGCGTCTGCCCCCCGGTGGTCAATGCACATCATAGCTACTGGTTGGAGCACCTGTCTCCTGGTAGTCATTGTGCATCATAGGTATCTTTCGAGCAATTGGACATTCGCTTAGGCTTTTATATATATACTAGAGGCCCAGTGTACGAAATTTGTACACAGGGGGTGAGGGGGATAGTGGTGTCCCTCAGCCCAGCCTGCACTCTCTCTAATCTGGGACCCCTCGAGGGATGACCGACTGCCAGTTTAGGCCCAATCTCACCTTTCACAATACAGGACTGCTGGCTCCCAACTCCTTGCCTGCCTGCCTTCCTAATTGCCTCTAACCGCTTCTGCTTGCCAGCCTGATCACCCCCTAACCACTCCTATGCCAGCCTGATTGATGTCTAACTGCTCCTCTGCCAGCCTGTTTGCCCCCAACTTCCCTCCTTTGCCGACCTGGTTACTCCTAACTGCTCTCCCCTGTAAACCTGATCACCCACAACTGCTCTCCCTTGCAGGCCTGGTCCCTCTCAACTGCCCTCTCCTGCTGGCCATCTTGTAGTGGCCATCCTATATCCACATGGGGGCAGGAACTTTGACCACTTGGGGGCAGTCATCTTGTGTGTTGGAGTGATGGTCAATCTGATATTATTCTTTTATTAGATAGGATAGAGGCCTGGTGCATGGGTGGGGGCCAGATGGTTTGCCCTGAAGGATGTCCCAGATCAGGGTGGGGGTTCCCTTGGGGTGTGGGTCAGTCTGGGTGAGGGACCCTGTGGTGGTTTGCAGGCTGGCCATGCCCCCCGGCAACCCAAGAGGAGGCCCTAGTATCTGGAATTTATTTACCTTCTACAATGGAAACTTTGTAGCCTGGAGCGGAGCCAAGCCTTCTGCATGCTCAGTGGCTGCCACCATTCTGTTTGGATTTGTTTACCTTCTATAATCGAAACTTTGTAACCTTGAGTGGAAGTTTAGGCTGGCAAGGGCAGGTGGAAAGTTTGGCTTCTTCCATTGTCAGAGAAACCCAAGCCTGCCTCCTACTCTTTGTGGCTGCAGCCATCTTGATTGGGGTTTATTTGCATACTCACTCTGATTGGCTGGTGAGCGTGGCTGGTGGATATAGCAGAGGTATGGTCAATTTGCATATTACTCTTTTATTAGATTAGATATCTCATCATCTGTCATTCATTTATTATCTATTCATCTGTCATCTACCTGTCACCTAGCTATCTGTCCATCATCTATTCATCATTCATCTATCAACCATCTATTACCTACCTATTTATCCATCTGTGTATCTATCTACTCATTTGCCTATTTATTGTTAACATCCTATGAAATAAGACCCTGGGGGAACACTCAGGAGGAGGAGAGAGCTTGGTTTTTCCTCTGGTCCTGGAGCCAGGGATGTTGTGGGCCTGGTGTAGCCGCTGTCCCCGAGGTCGCTCACACACCAGGGTGCTGCTTAAATAGCGGCTCTGATAAATGCTCCCTCCCTGGAGGGAGCCTGGATTCAGTCACTCTCTTGCTTATCACTCTGCCATCCGCAGTGCCAGCCACATTGGCTCTATACTTCAAATGGAATAGGCTAAAGCTGCACGCTGTGAGGCTTACACAGCAGGGAGATGGGAACAGAGAGATGGAAGGGGTCCTTAACGTGACAGAGGTGTGCTTGGGGGAAACTGCATGGCTTTCCCATGAGACAGTGGGGGGTTTTGGCCACCTGAACTAGCTGTCCTGGGGGTTGAGGACATCAGGGCAATCAGGGGCCAGGGCCTCAGTGACTGCAATCTGCAGAGGCACTCTAAGGCAGTGGTTCTCAACTTTTTTAATGCTATGACCATTTAATACAGTTTCTCGTGTTGTGGTGACCCCCAACCATAAAATTATTTTTTGTTGCTACTTCATAACTGTACTTTTGCTACTGTTAATGAATTGTAATGTAAATATCTGTGTTTTCCAATGGTCTTAGGCTCTACAGTAGCGGTTCTCAACCTGTGACCCTGCCTGTCTGCCTGTCTGGTCACCCCAAACTGCCCCACCCCACTCCAGCTTAGCTTAGTCACCCCTCACTGCCCACTCCCTGCTGGCCTAATCACCCCCAACTCCCCCCACCCCCTGCTGGCCTGGTTGCCCCTAACTGCTGCCCTTCACTCCCCCCACCCCCGCCGGCCTGGTTGTCTCTTACTGCCCTCCCTGCTGACCTGGTCACCCCCAACTGTCCCCCCTGCCAGCCTGGTCACCCCTCACAGCCCCCCTGCCACCTGGTCATAGGCAGCAATCTTTGTGAGGGTGTGAGAGTTAATTTGCATATTACCTCTTTATTATATAAGATAGTATTTCATCATATAAATATGCTAATATAAAATGTTACATAATCTATTCATTATATTATTTACAGATATTTTACATTTTTAAATATATAAATTAATCCATCAGCAAGATGCCTATACTGTTGATTAATTTATGCACAAGGCTCCATACTCAATGGGCATTTCGTTATTAAAAATCTTTATTCTTTTTCATTTCCTCTTGGCCCTCACTAGGTAGGGGACCTGAATTCACAATAATAATCTATTATGATAAGCCTTACTAAATGGTTAGTTTCTGGTTTGTGCCCTGACCAGAAATCAAACCATGACCTCTAGGTGACTCACTTTCATTTTATCTGGAAAGTGAGTCACCTAGATAAAGATGCATATGAGCTTTCTATATTTTTTGATCTTATATAGTCTGTGGGTAAAAGAGAGATGCATTTAGAATTGAAAGGTGATTATTTTGGGGTTCCAGGCAAGTGAGCACTTGTATCCTGATTTACTCTCAGTCCCCTGGTATAGTAAGATGTCACTAATGGGAAGGAAGAAGACTGAATTCAGCTGTGCTTATAAATCTTATTGTATATATAGCAAAATCAGCATGGGTCTGCCTGGGCAGACGGGGGCCATGACAGGAGTGTTTCAGGTATGCCATGTGACTGACACCAGGTTGGTGTTAAATGACAGACAGTTTGGGGGTAAGTCCCTTTTCAATCTCTCAGGCACCATTAGGCAATAGGCACACTTGGTGTTCCCCACGGTGCCCTGGATGAGTCTGGGCTGACATTCCCACTCTTAGAGATGAAATTCAAGGGGCTTTCCCACTACTGATGACTGTGAGTGGCACTCATATGGACTGTCTGCAAATGCTGGGCTCCTGGGCACTTACCTTCATTGTCACTGGTATTCCCATTTCATGTAGTTTAGGATGGATTAAAACTACAACAATATTTACCCAATTTTTAAACGGTTTGATTCTCTCCCCCAGGGCTACCAAGGCATGGTGGATGGCGGCAACAACATCATGGAAGCGAACTGGGAGAGCGTCTCCAGCATTCTGCAAGTGGTAGGTGCTGGGTTCCTTAGGTTGTTTCTCTCTGTAAGTCACTCTCTGAGTTTGGAGACTTTTGTCCTAATACTGCTGTCAGGCTTAAAACAGGTCAGTGTGCTGCCTGGCGACAGGAAAGAAAACATTCTTAATGTGTCTCTTAAATTTTGTAGAAGCACTTCACATCATACAAATGGAGGAAATATCCTTGCAATAAAAATGTTATGCATAGTAGCTAGCGTTCCTCGTGGTACTTGTAGCAGATTTGGGTATGTACACCAGATTCGTGTTGAAGCAGCTTTGATTTGTTGGTGCTGTGTGGTTAGTGGCAAATACCTGTGCCTGTTGGGTTTTCTCGAGTTCCTGGGCATCAAGATATCACAGCCTGGAAGAGATCCCAGCCAACGGCTCCAAGGGCCCTGGGTTTGCTTGTTTATTCATTTTTAGTTTTTATTGATTTCAGAGAGGAAGGGAGAGGAAAAGAGTGAGAGAAATATCAGTGATGAGGGAAATCATTGATCAGCTGCTTCCTGCATGCCCTACACTGAGGATCAAGCTCGCAACCCAGGCATCTGCCCTGATCATGAATCAAACCACGACCTCCTGGCTCATAGGTCAGTGCTCAGCCTCTGAAACACCTGGGCCTGGTGGGCTGTGGGTTTAAAGGGCAGGTGGCACCCTGTCCTGGCCTGCTCCAGATGGCATGGATTTCTTTGATGTGCTCAAGCATGAGGTCACCACCACTTTAGGCAAAGAAACAGTTGCTCACTTTGACTGTAAAAGATGCCTGCCCAGCTGTTTCATGTTTATACTTAATTATACCTAATAAATTTCCAGAACACTGTATAGCTTAACAAAGGCCTCACACAGTTGAGAAAAAAAAAAAAAAAAAGAGCTCACATGGCAAGAAAAGACTTCATGAAGCACTGCTGTAGGTTTACTTTTGTAGCATATGTATTCATCTGTGACTCCTATTGAGCACTTTTGTAACATATTTTTATCAATTTCAGAGAGGAAGGAAGAGGGAGAGACAGAAACACCAATGATGAGGAGGAATCATTGATTGGCTGCCTCCTGCATGCCCCCCACTGGGGACTGAGCCCACAACCTGGGCATGTGCCCTGACTGAGAATCAAACCATGACCTTTTAGTTTATAGATCAACACTCAACTACTGAGACACCAGCTGGGCCTGTTGAGTACTTTTATAATAGAAGGAATAAAATGGATACACTGCTGTGAAGGTGCTAGAGCAGTGGTTGAATGGATAAAACAATTATGAGAAAATATATGAATATTATTTAGTCATATAAGAGAAGGAACTCCTACAATGTGGGACACAGTGGATGGATTTTGAGGGCATTATGTTAAAGCAGTTAGACGGAGAAGGACAAATACTGTATCATCTCACTTATATGTAGAACCTAAACTCATAGAAGCAAAGAACAAACTGGTATTTGTCAGGGGCTAGGTGGACAAGGATATGGGGAGATGATGGCCAAAGGGTAGATGAATATATGCTTGCATCTCAGTACAGCATCGTGACTATCCTATATAATAAAATGCTAATAGACTGAATGACAGAATGACTGGTCACTATGATGCTCACTGACCATCAGGGGGCAGATGCTCAATGCAGGAGCTGTCTCCTGGTGGTCAGTGTGCTTCCACAAGGAGAGTACTGCTCAGCCAGAAGCCCTGAGCCAGGCTCACAGCTGGAGAGCACAGCGGCTATCTGTCATTGGATCCTCTCCAGCCTCTACAGAAACGCTGGCTTAGATCTGCTCCCCATCAGACATCCCCTGAGGTCCTCACAGACTGAGGGTGCAGGCCGGGCTGACCCCCCCCCCCCCCCCCCGACCTTCGAGTGCATGAATTCCATGCACTGGGCCTCTAGTAGTTAATAATTCTGTATTATATTAGACAATAGGTCTTAAGTGTTCTCACAGCACACACACAAAAGGTTACTATATGAGGTGATGGGTGTGTTAATTTATTTGATTGTGGTAGTTATTTCACAGTGTGTACATATATAAGTCATCATGTCGTATACCGTAACCATGTTCACAATGCTGCATTATACACTTGAAATTTACTAAGAGAGTGGATCGTAAAAGTTCTCACTACAAAAAAGAAAGGCAGTTATGCAGACTGATAGATGTATAAACCAATCTTGTTGTGGTAATCATTTCACAGTACAGGCACCTATCAACTGAGCACATTGTGCACCTTCAACTGACATCATGTTTGGGGGATGATAGTGATGTGTACGTTTTAATACCCATCACAGAGCGATAAGTCTGACCGTAGACCTTTACGCTATGTCTCCTTGAAAGAGACGGGAGGAAGTTTGGCACCCACCAACACGTAGGTAGAGTGATATTTGCAAAAATCTTGTTGTCTGAACTCCAGACAATGAGCTGTGTGTACAGGATGCATTTCCTTTGTCCTGTTGTGATTGTGCAGAAGACAGGAGATACAAGTGTGGCTGTGTGTGTGTGTGTGTGTGTGTGTGTGCTGCCTACTTAGCCAATCCTGGTCTCATCCCTGTGGCTCTGGCTGTATTATCTTCACACCATCTATCAGCTGCTGACTTACCTTCCAGTTGTTAGAAATCACATGGCCCTCTCACCTTTGCTCTGAGCCCTGCAGCTGCCACCCAGGCTCCATGGCTGTGCTGAGTCATCACGCCGCCCCTGCCACACTGACCACTGTTGATGAGTGAGCTCTGTGAAGTGAGGGTGCACTTGAAGGCGTGCATGCAAATTCCAGATTTATACGTGCATCCCTGAGGCATGGCAGGGAGCCCTGCATTTTTCTAACTGCAGCTAGGGATTCTTCATTTATGAAGACCCACGTGGGAAAACTCACAACTGAGCTCTCTGGAAACTGGGATGAGCCAGCCTCATTTAAAAAAATATTATTTATTTATTTATTTATTTATTTACAATTTAGCCTTTAAGAAGAGTTAAAGGAGATATAATTGGAAATAAATCTCTTTGGTGTGCAGCTTCCTATTTTGCCTGTGTATCTGATAAGTTCTGAGTAACAGAGGGGAGCCTGTGGCCCAGGCCTCCAACTGGGTGCTCTCTGACCCAGGCTGATGGCAGCGCTGGGCTGGCTTAGGCTCGGGGCACTGGCAGAGCTCAGGGTCTGGCTGCCCCAACTGCACAGCCTCCGGATGGCTGTCATCACCTCGCAAACTCTTGTCTGCGTGTTTAGCTGAGTTTGCTCCTTGTTTCCAGACCCTACTTCGGCCCCCCTGGGCAGGGAGCCAACGTCTCTATCCACTGAATTCCAGAAGGAGCTAAAAACAGAGGAACTATAAACTCCCACTGCAGACCAACTGTGGGAAGTCCTGTGTCCGCACCAGCACCCACAGGCGCTGATCTGCCCGGCTTTCTGCACAGCTGCAGGAGACAGATAACTAGGATTTGGTTTCCTTCCCAGGGCGGGACCATCATTGGCAGCGCCCGGTGCAAAGCCTTCCGCACCCGGGAAGGCCGCTTGAAAGCCGCCCACAACCTGGTGCAGCGGGGCATCACCAACCTGTGTGTGATCGGCGGGGACGGCAGCCTCACCGGGGCCAACATCTTCCGGGAGGAGTGGAGCGCGCTGCTGGAGGAGCTGGCCCAAGACGGTGAGTCTCTGCCTTGCTCTCCGGGGTTGGCTGCCCTGTCCTGTTCCCAGCCCCGCAGAGCGCTGTGTCTCAGACCCGCTGCCTGTCTGACCGTCCCGGAGGTATTGGTGGTGTCAGATCTTAGTCGCCGCCTCAGAATTCAAATTGGACCTCAAAAATAACAATAACAAGAATAGTACTTAGTTCCCTGTACTGTGGTGTGGGAGCCCCTTCTACTCCCGCGAGGTTCAGAGTTCCTGTTCAAGGTTCCGTTTCTGGAGAAGGCTGCCCACAAATGAAGAGAGGCTAGAAAAGAGTTAATTTGGGAAAATGGGGAGCAGGTGGAAGTCCACCTCCAGGGGGAGGACTGCCTCCCCCCTCCGCTCTGGCCTTGCTCTTCCTTTAATTGAGGCTATGGGAAACACCCATATCCTTTTGGCAGGAAATTCCAATAATAGACAATCAGCAAGAATTTACATATGATTAACAGGTGGAGGTTGCTTTAACTACCAATGTCTCAACTATTAATAAACAATGAGTGAACAGCTCCAACCATTCAGAGAAATTAAGGTTGACCAGCCTTCCGTATTCCCTTTTCCCATTTCTCTATTAGTGTCAATGTGGTAACAGAGTTGCTACATAATTGTCTTTAATACAAAGTCTGAGCAGGGAGTCTCATTGCTGGAGCTGGTAGCCGCACTAGTGGCTCACAGCAGGGGCCTCCCCGCACCTCCTGGCCTCCTCAGTTTGGGCTGACGCAGGCTGGGGGTGACACCGAAGAGGAATAGCCGCCCAGGTCCCTGCCTGAGCTGCCCAACCTCGACCACTCTGAATGGTAGTAGGCACATCTGCTCACTCTGTGGGAGCTGGAAGTAGATATGACCACCTGGTGGGCTGGCTTCCCGGGGGGCCTCTGACGCATCAATGTGATAGTTATGTCATATCCTTCACCACTTTATTCTGTGATTGAGATATTTCCTTAGTAAGAGCTATGCTGTTCTCCTGGCTTTACCCACTGATGGCAGCGTGCGACCCCTCCCTTTGAGTTTGGCAGCCCTGTGCTCTCATCTGCAACAGCTCCCAGCTTGCCAGCACCGCCCTGTTGTCTGGCATGGATTTCTGTGAGGGTAGAGGATTAGGTCATGGAGAGTTTCAAAAAAAAAGAAAAAAAAAGAAAAGAAAATCAATAGTTAGAAAACACATTTCGAGTCGTGGGTTTCTGTCCCCCTGGCCGACCTGTCTCCCAGCTATGGAGTGTGTGCCCGAGGGCCCCGGGGTTGCTCCCCGTGACGGAGCCTGTGGCTGTGTCCTCACAGGCAAGATCAGCAAGGAGGATGTGCAGAAGCACGGGTACCTCAACGTTGTGGGCATGGTGGGCTCCATCGACAACGACTTCTGCGGCACAGACATGACCATCGGCACTGACTCGGCTCTGCACCGCATCATTGAAGTCGTGGACGCTATCATGACGACGGCCCAGAGGTAGAGGAGGTGCAGGTGGGCGGGCACGCTGGGAGGGTGCACAGAGGGTGTTCTGGTGCAGCTCTTGTCGCTTGAGTGTTAGAAATGGTGCAAAAAAAAAAAAAAAGTGTTCTCGGGTTCACTTTTTATTTTCAGTTCTATGACGTTCCTTCCCTCCCTCCCCCATTATAGAAGGAAAATGTGTTCATGGGAGAAAATTTGAAAGACAAAACTCATCATTATCTTAAGTTCTGCTGCGTTCTCAGGCAGGAATCGCGGGAAATAAAAGTGTGGGTGAATGTCGCCACAGCCCTTGTTAGAGACGTGGGGAGGCATCCTGCCCCCCATGTTCCTTTTCCAGCCTCACGCACCCAGGTGTGGATGACGCTGTAAAATGTGAAACTGGGAAGGGGCAGCCCGAGCCCCTTTACTCACAAAAGTTGAAAAGACCCTTGCAGTAGCTTTTGCTTCTGTGGAAAACGGGTCCTGTTTTGGAAGCTGGGGCTCCTGCCACAGTCACTGAACAGCCCTGCCGTGTGCATGGCTCTGGGGGCGCCTGTGTCTCTGTGTCCCAGCTCTTCCTTCCCAGCCTCGGTGGGTGCATGTCTCCTTTCTCTTTTCCAGCCACCAGAGGACCTTCGTTCTCGAGGTGATGGGGAGACACTGCGGGTACGTATGTGCAGACATGATCGGGTGGGAAGGACCTCCCCCCTCCCCCTGGAGAGCCCTGCACCCAGTGCCAGTGCCCCGGGAGGGTTCCCCAGGGTCAGTGCCTCCCATGCAGGCTTGGTGCTCTGTCCACCCCGCGGTTCCCAGGCCCCGGGTGTCTAGCGGCAGCCTGACTGCATCCTTGCTATTTCTGTGCAGGTACCTCGCCTTGGTGAGCGCCTTGGCCTGTGGGGCGGACTGGGTGTTCCTCCCGGAGTCTCCGCCGGAGGAGGGCTGGCAGGAGAGGATGTGCGTCAAGCTATCAGAGGTAATCGCTCTCTGCTTCCGGGCGCTGGCTGTGCCCGTGAGCGTCGTCAGGGTTTTCAGTCTGGGAGGTGTTAGACAGGTGGGAACATCGGATGCTCGGGTGAATGGCAGTGGCAGGTAGTGGCTGTCCACAGGGGTCTATGTCTCAGGCTGCAGAGTGAGGCAGTAGAGAAAAGTGACAACCTTTCCGTTTTTCCATGCAAAGCACCGGCTAGGTTAGCTCTCATGGAGGAGGTGCTGTGAGATTGCAGCTACTGAAAGATAGCTTCGGGGGGTGAATGTGTTTCCTATTTTCTCTCCACTGATCTGTAGGAAGACATGTGTTCTCACTCTGATCTGAATTTCCCTCCACACTGGCCCGGGCTACGGCACGTCTCTCAACCGGTGTCCCCTCTGTGTGGGGCTTGAAGTCGGGTTGGCGCACCGCTCTGGAGCCGGCACTGTAGAGTACTCCTTCCTGTAAAACACATCTCCCACTACAAGGCATGTGAGGTCTCATGTGAGACACCAGCTTTCAGGACAGAAACCCCAGTGTGAGGAGTTCCCATGCTCTGTGTTTACAACCCTCTTATGACTGGTCGACAGGGAACCAATGTAAGCCCATGGCACAGGCTAAGTGCAGTGTATACAGCAGGCACTTCAGCACTGCCCGCACTGAGGACACGAGCAGTAACGTTGCAGTCACCTTCAGGGTGTCGGATTCAAAGGCGGGGATTCGCAGAAAACACCAAATAAGCTTTGCTGACCTGAAGCCCCAGGAAGGAAACTGTCAGCCAAGCTGCACCTTGGCTTGGAAGTCGGGCCTTGTATGAAGTTGGAGCTCTTAACCGGAAACAGGCCAGAGAAGGCAGGGCGTGTTCAAAGTTCAAACACTAGCAAGGAAGTGACAAATGAGCTCATCATTTCTGGGTCTGACTTGTGCATGGGGCAGTGTTCTCTGCCAACCAGCTGGTGCCAGGAGCTACGGGGCTGGTTGCGGGAGAGGTGGGTGGCCCTCCTGGACGGACGGGTAGGTCTGTGTGCTGTGGAGGACACCTGTGTCATCACCACCTCACGGGACATTGTGTAAGGTCGCAACCCCCAGGGGCTATGCGTGTCTCCTCCAGCTGTCCTCCTCCCTGTCGGTCCCCGGCCTGGCCCAGGATGGCAGCCTCAGGGACCAGGAAACACACCCTCCCCATCAGTCGATCAGAGGTCGGGGCTGAGGCTGTGCGTCTTAGGCGCATGTTTCCGGTTTGTCTGTTATTTCTGTAGCTGTGGGTCTTGTCTGCAGGCTTTGTAAGCTGCCCCGTCAGCCAGGACACGAATCAGAATGTTTTGGCCTCGGAGAGTGGGCAGAGTGCGGCCGATGGTGTAAACCTGCCCCTGTGTGAAGACACTTGATATTGGTATCTGCTGTTCATGTTTGTAGGCCGTGAATGTACTACTGAGAGGATGTTTTCCAAATACTTTGTTTAATAAACCAGCCCCAGATGCAGGTCTCAGGTGCCCCAGGCACGGGCATGTCAGTATAGGATTGGGGAAGACTGAAATCCGAAGGCCCCACTCTGCCACTCCCAGGGGGACAGTGGACACCCCACCTCCATGTCCTGAGCTCCTCGCTGTAGCTGGGGGACAGACTGCTCCTTAGCAGGTTTGTGAGGAGTGAGCCAGTGAGCAAGTAAACGAGTTGGTCCAGGTGGGGAGCCAGCAGGTAGGCAAGGCGTCTCCCCACATAGGTGTGCGGCCTCCATTACTTCTCGCCACCTCGGGGTATTACGTCCCACGATGGAGTGTGGCCGAGCCCATACTCATGGACATGTCATTCTTTCTGACCTCGCTTTTCTATTGGTGCTGAAATAATCACTCTTGAAGTCACATCTTTACACCTTTTAGAAAATCTCCGATAGATGCATTCTCCAAAGTGTTGCACATCCATTAATATCTATAAAAAACAACAACAAAGGGCAAATGTATTTGTGACTTTGGTCCCAGGATGGGCGGCCCCGTGAGAACAGCCTGCTGTGCGTGGCACCCTCTGGGTTTGGGCAGGGGCAGCTCCAGCACTGCCCTCTTGGGCCTCATCGCCCCACCTGCTTACACCCTCCCTCCCCGAGGGTCCTTCCTGGGGGGCACTATAGAACAAACTCGGGGAGAATGGTTTTGGGGCACCCCTGGAAGACTGCCTCAGCCTGTGAGGGCAGCGCAACCCGGGTGTCACACAGCGCCCGTCGGCCTGTTCCTGTTCCTGCGCCGGGCGCTTCCCACCCGGCTGGGCTCTGAGTTCTTCACGTCCCTCCTGCCTCCTGCCTCCTGCCTCCTGCTTGGACCCAGGGCCCTATCACCTGACCCCAATGACTGAGATTCCCAGGTTGGGGCAGGATTCCTGAGAGGTGGTGGGAAGTCAGGCTTACAGTGGAGACTGGCTGGGGAGCCAGCCTGTGGGCATCCTGTCAGGGGAGCACAGTCAAAGGTCAACCAGCAAAGCCTCCAGCCTAGGGCTGCCTGGGTGCCAGCAGCTCTGGTGGTATCACCAAATCTCAAGCCCCTGCCCCCTCCTGCTCCTACTCACCCAGATCCCCTCCCCTCCCCGTGTCCTTAGTGAACAGAGCGTGTGACATTAGCTGACCGTTTCGGCCTCTTGGCCAGTTCAATCGAGGCAAACTGGTCCTGGTTTTGTTAAGAGCATTTAGGCATCAGAGGATTTTCATGTCTGTTTCCTTAGAACCGGGCCCGGAAGAAAAGGCTGAACATCATCATTGTGTCCGAAGGAGCAATCGACACCCAAAACAAACCTATTACCTCGGAGCAAATCAAGGATGTGAGTGTGTCAGTCTCCCCTCCTCTTCCCTCCTCCGCTGCCTGCCTGCAAACAGGAGATGCTGGCATGCTGGCAGAGGGGGTCTGGCATGATGCATTATTATTCTGAAACATTTCTGTTTTTTTTCTGATTTTAAAAACTATTTCATAATGACTCAGAGCTTTAGTGGCTTGAGGCTCACACAGCTCCGGCTTCTGCAGAGTCAGTGCTGCTGGATACTGTTGGGAATATCTCCCAGGGGCCAGAGCTCGCCCGCCCACGGAGAGAGGGAGCATTGGAGAAGGTGGGCATGGAGGGTCAGCTCTGGGCCCAGCCACTCTGAGAGCTAGGAGGGTCAGCTCCCAGCAGCGCCCCCTGTCTGTCCCCTTCTCTCCTTGCGAGCACCCGCTGAGCCAAATGTTGGATGTGAGTCACTGCCACTCCCTGCCTGCAGAGGGGCCCACACTGCAGTGCTGTTGCCACAGAGCCCTGCCTAGGGTGCTGACTCCTCAGGCCAGTGACGGGATTGGCCAGGCTCCCTGGTTATGGGGATATGGGGACAACTGGGCACGTTCTGTCTGAACATCGCAGGGGGACAGAGGCTCTGGTTGAAGCTGCTGATCAGGGCGAAGGATATTGTCAACTTGGTTTCTCAGGTTTGCCTTCTCTATTCCCTGTACCAGCTGTTCACCTTCCTAAATCTTAAAATACTAAGAGTTGGCTGTGAAAGATATCAGCCAACATTTCCTAGTGTGAATGGTGAATGGCCCCAGATGTTAGACTTTGGTCTTTCACCTTTGGCTAAGAAAGAATTCAGACAGAGAAAGACAAGTATGACATGTTCTCACTCATATGTGGAATCTAATGAACAAAATCTCAGAGGGAAGGCTGGGGTGGGGGTAGAGAGAAATTAACCAGGGAATTTCAATGCATATATTCATAATCCATGGACACAGACAATGGTGTGGTGAAAGCTTAGGGAGGTGGGAGAGTTGGAGGGGGTCAATAGGGAAAAAAAGAGACATCTATAATAATTTAGAAAATAAAGATAAATTTAAAAGGAAAGAAAGAATGTAGAGCCAAGACTCAAATATAAGCAAAAGTTTATTTAGAAAGTCACAGCAGTAGAAGGAGGTGAGCCAGCTGGGCTGTGTGGACCTAGGAAACAAGTTACAGAGGCAAAAGAAAGGCCGTTTTAGCTTAGGGGGAAAAAGGCAGAAAAGTCGCACAAGCTGAGGAAGAAGGGCATGGGGAAAAGGTGCTCAGGCCTTGCTGCTTTCCTTTCCTGGAGCTGAAACACAACTGAGGCCCAGATGTCATCTCTAGTGTGACCAACACTCTGTTTCTGTGGTCAGCAGACCCAAGGCTTTGTTCCTAAGATTCGTTGATGCGGGCCATTGTCCTGAAGCGTACAGTTTTAGGAGTGGTTGTGCAAGGACTTACCAGGATGTCCCATGAGTCTCTTCTCCTGTCCCCTAGTTCCTCCTCGAAGGGGCTCTGTGACCAGTGCTGTGCTAGGGGAGGAAAGGTTGCCCTGAGGGCGAGACCTACAGGACAGCTGCCTGCTACTAGGAGCCCTGGGTGACCTTCCTTACCTGGCTTGTCACTCTGCTCATGCCCATCTAACTGCCTGCTATCACAGGAAGTCATCTGGAAAGAGCACAAATTCCCACTTAATTGAAGGGGAGATTGAACCGTGGAACTCACAGAGCCCAACCCCCGTTATGTTTACAGAGGAGTGATTGAGGCCCAGAGGGTACGTGGCCTGCCCCTGCCACTCAGCTGTTTGCACAGGTGAAAGGGGACACCTCACTTTACAGGTCACACTTTTCAAAGACACTACAAATGTAGGGCGAGTCAAGAAATGTTGACCTTTCTATATAAAGTATTAATCATGCTTTCAACACAAGCTATAAAAGCTTAAAAAAAAAAATCATGTTATTTATGTTTATTTGCAAGGTAGGAGAAATAAAAATTCTATTTAAATTAAAAAATTAAAGCATTATTTAAAAGCATTTTCAGCTAGCCATTAGCCTAAGCCAGTGTTCTGCAAACTCATTGGTCAACAGAGCCAAATATCAACAGTACAACGATTGGAATTTCTTTTTGAGAGCCAGATTTTTTAAACTTAAACTTCTTCTAACACCACTACTTCAAAATAGTCTCACCCAGGCCGTGGTATTTTGTGGAAGAGCCACACTCAAGGGGCCAAAGAGCCGCATGTGGCTCGCGAGCCCGTTTGCTGACCACTGGCCTAAGCATTCCTTTAAGAACCAAAATTTAGGAATGAGAACGTTTCTCAAGTAGATGCGAAGAGAGAATAGGAAATTATCTCCCAGCTTCAACCCGGTCTTCTGATGGGAGCCCATCTGCCTGCACCTGTTCTCTGTCCCCTGATGGAGGTATTTCCCGCAGCTGGTGGTGACGCAGCTGGGATACGACACCCGCGTGACCATCCTCGGACACGTGCAGAGAGGCGGGACGCCGTCGGCCTTTGACAGGATTTTGGTAAGTGAAGGTGGAAACTGTCCGTCCTGTTCCCAAGGGGAGTTTCTGGAAGCACCAGAGACTGAGAGCTGTTCACTAGCGCCATCCGGCAAAAGCTGCTGCCTACAGCATGGGGCAGCCTGTCTCTGAGACCCTCCAGGCCTTGTCATTGGGAGACTCAGGCCAGACAGACCAGAGCAGTTCCCCGGCCCCAGTCACCCAGAAGCTGGGAGACCTCACCCACATGGACAGTGGAGGATGGCAGGGACTCTAGGACCAAACCCAGGATGTGGGAAGTGGCATTCACATGCAGGTCTCTAGAAACAGAACCTGGGACAGCAGAGCCCAGAGTCCAGATCCTGGGTTGTTAATCTTCACTGTTCTTTATACCACAGAGCCTCCCCTCCCCTCTCCTTCCCTCCCCTCCCCTCCCCTCTCATCCCCTCCTCTCCCCTCCCCACCACTTCTGGGTGGAGACTAAATCTTTCTGTTGGAATTGGGTTAAGCAGGAAGGACTTGGGTACCTAACTACACTCAGTCCCAGAGAACAGAAAGAAAGCTGAGGAGAATGTATGTTTAGGACACAGTGGGGTTGTCTGAACCTCAGGGGTTAGGGGCCCATGGATGCCTCTGCCTGGAGCATTGAGGGGCTCTGGTGACAGCGCTGCCTCAGTGGGTGGTGGGCCTTCTCTGACTCTCATGAATGTCACTTGCAGGCCAGCCGCATGGGGGTGGAGGCCGTGGTCGCCCTGCTGCAGGCCACACCAGAGACCCCGGCCTGCGTGGTGTCGCTGAGCGGGAACCAGGCAGTGCGCCTGCCCCTGGTGGAGTGTGTGCAGATGGTGAGCTGGGGAGGGGCGTGCGGGCACAGCTGGCACCTGGTCCCTGGTCTGTGGCTGCCAAGCCACAAGGGAGTTAGATGACCTTCATCAGGACCAGTGGAGCTGCCCTGTGGGCATGGCAGCAGGCTCCTATCACCCAGACTAGTTGCTTGTCTCATTTTTAGGGGAGGTTACTGTGTCAGGAAGATTGTGCTGGGGGCGGGGGGGTCCTTGAGGGTGTCTGGGAGGAATCTGTGGGTGGGGTGCCCAGGGCCTCCTTAACCCCTTAGATTTCAGCCTCTCCTTCATCCTGTTCCCAAGGATGTCCAAGTTTGTGGGGTGACCCTGGCCTGGCTAATTCAGGGGACATTCATTCCTCCAGGCCCAGGCTGTAATTCCCCACCCGAGTCCACAAGGGGAGGTGGTAGTGAGGTGCATTGGAAATTGTTCTTCTCTTTTATTTCTCAAAGTCTGTCCATGACTGTCATCCTACTTGGTCTTTTCCAGCAATTATTCATTTGATAACATGCACAGAGAGGTGATTATGTAATGCAGTCAAGGGACTTGTTGGAAGTTACCTTAGACACGTCACTTCAAAGCCTGTGGGAGGGCATTAAGCTGTGTGTATATATTTGTATGTGTCCAAAGGTATTTTTTGTTTAAGCATATGTATGTCTGACATGTTTGCATGTGAGTGTGTTCATGCATGTGTCTGCGCGTGCACACATATGTATTTTTGTCTTAAGCATGTGTCTGACACGTGTGCATGTGAGTGTGTTCATGTGTGTACACGAGTGATGTACATGCATGTGTTTGTGTGGGAGGGTGTTTGTGTGTATACATGTGTGTGCGTGCATGTCTGTTTGTGAGAGAGTGAGATGACAGGCTTAAGATGATCAGGACATTGAACTGTGTGCAGTAGTCTGTTCTGGGCCTATTTCTTATGTCACATGTCTGTTCCTTCAGAGATAAACATGTAGGTACAATATGGCTTGTCCTCCAGATGACCATACATTATGATAAACTAGCCGGATGGCTCACAAAAGCCACAGTGAGCCCTTCATTGGCACCTGCTGTGTGCAGGTGTTTTCTTAAGAGCCTGGTGTGTTTTATAAAATTATTTTTAAATTGATTTTCAGAGAGAGAGAAAGATATCAATGTGAGAGAGAAACATGGATACAATCCATGGCCTCCTGCACATGACCTACCTGGAGATGGAACCCGCCATCTTTTGGTGTATGGGGGAAGGCTCCAACTGAGCCACACTAGCCAGGGCCAATCTGGCATGTTTCCTAACCACAGATGACACTAGATAGGGCGTGTTCTCCTTATTGTACAGATGAGGAAACCAAATAAATAATTTACCCGAGATCCTCGGATTGAAGATCCTACTTGGGTGTGTTGGCTGCATGCAGAGACCCCATCCGGGTCCCCAGCTCCTAGATCCTGTTGATCTTTTCCTCCCAGAATCCACCTGTGAATTTGTCAGGACCTTGTGCGAGAGATGCATTTCCTCCTGGCTCTGCTCTCATAGAGTGAAATCCCGAAGACCTCAGGACCTCTGCCTGGGATGGCCAGCGGTGCCACCCTCACCTCCTCCATGACGTGCCTGAGCTAGTGGCCCCTGTGTCCCCCTCACAGCCGGGTGTGCCAGGCCAGCTGAGGCCCACTGTGGGTCCACCCCAGGCTACTGGCCTGCTGAGGCTGGACGTGATGGGGACCATGTGGAGGCACCGAGCTGGGCGTGAGGCTGCACCGAGTCCTGACCCTGCTGTCTTCCTCTTTCCTCTCTTTAAAGACCCAGGGCGTCCAGAAGGCGATGGATGAGAAAAGATTCAAGGAGGCCGTGCAGCTCCGAGGAAGGTGAATGAGGGAATCTCTGTCCTGGAACGTGTGCTGTGGGCCTGTCCCTTCCTCAGGCCTGGGAGTTATCTGTTCAGAAGGTCCTCAGGGTTATTCCTTCAGAAGGCCCCAAGAGGTTGTGCTTGTCCAATCCCACTGTGAAAAGGCAGAAAGAAGATGGCGAGCAGGCGCCATTTCTGCAGGTTGAGCGCTGCGGTGATTATTAGGGAGGGGGGGGGGTATCATTTATTTCTTTGTTTATTTTGGACAGGGCGTCATTCGAAGTAATGAGATTAAGATAGGAAGTGGCAAGTGGGTAGGGTGTTGGCAAAGAAACCTGAGAAGCACTGGACGCCTTTGTCCCTTAGCCCAGTGACATGATGTACATCCCCCATGCTGTGTCCCCCCTGAAGGCAGCAGGGCTCGGGTACCATCAGGCCCCTGCCCCTGAGGGACGGGACAGCATTTGCAGACTGCCTGCTCCCTGTACCACTGTTCTCTGCGCTCTACTTCCCTGCACCTTCTAAACCTGTTCCAACAGTGTCATTCTCTTCTAGGAGCTTTGAGGGCAACCTCAACATCTACCAGCAGCTCTGCATCAAGAAGCCAGACTCCCAGATCACCAAGGTGGGTGATGACTGCCCACTGGCTCCCAGGGGTACTCCTGACGGTCCCCGCTGACCCCGCTCCCCTGCCACCTCCTGCCCTGGACAATGCCGCAGCCTCCCTGCCCGTGGCCAGGCACTCCTGGCACCTGGTGCTGGGCAGGGCCCCCTCCCAGGTGTGCATGGGTCGGTGACACAGCTGTGCCAAGTGCCACATTGCCCCCTGTCTTGCAGAGTGGCTGCAACGTGGCCGTCATCAACGTGGGTGCCCCGGCTGCCGGGATGAACGCTGCTGTGCGCTCGGCCGTGCGGGTTGGCATCTCAGAAGGACACAAGATGTTTGCCGTCTATGATGGCTTTGAGGGCTTCGCCAAAGGCCAGGTGGGTCCCTTAGGAGGTGCCCAGTGGAGGGATGTCTTCGACGGGAAAGTCATGGGGAAGTGGGGGACCTCAGGAACACAGCAACTGTGTGTGTGGGTGTGTGTGTGTGTTTAAATATGATTTTATTGATTTTAGAGAGAGAGGAAGGGGGAGGGAGGGAGAGAGAAACAATGATGTGAGAGAGAACCATCAGTCAGCTGCCTCCCGCACATGTCCTGACCAGGGGGGTCAAACCCACAACCTTTCGGTGCACAGGATGATGCTCAACCAACTGAGCTACAGCAGCCGGGGCACAGTGCCTGCTCTTTAAGGAGAACCTCTGCTCTAGGGTCCCATCCTAAGGAAGGACCTTTCTACGCCCATGAGACTGACATGGGCTCACCGGTGTAGTCTCTCAGTAAACCTGAGATATTGTCCCATTTTCCTTGTGAGAAAATATGGTCAGAGGCAGTAACTTGACCACGGTTGCACTCCACTAGGTGTGTCCTGTCCACAGAGTCAATTCGCCTGGTCACTTGGCGACTGTTTACTGAGTTCTCATGCTACCCATGTAAATTTGTGAAGAAAGCAGACAAAGCCACTGCTTCCATGGAGCTTTCATTTTAGGGAGGGAGCTGAAGGGAGGTGAAGGTAGACTGTAAGTGCAGAGCAGGTGGGAGCAGGTGAGGAAGTGACCTTGCTAGAGGGGCAACACAGAGGGGTTGAGTGAGCCCTGGAACTGGGGTGGGCAGGTCTGCAGCTGGGCGGGGCTTCAGTCTCAGGTGAAGGGCTGAGAAGGTGCTGTCCCAGGCAGCAGGACAGTGCAGGGGCCTGAGGTGCTCAGAGGTGGGAGAGGGCTAGTGGGATGCAGCAGGAGAGCAGGCTGGGGTGGGATGAGGTGGGGAGCAGACGGGCCAGGTCCTTCATGGGATTTGTAAAGAGTTTGGCTTTTATTCTGAGGAGACAGGTTTTGAGCAGGGGCCTGGTGCATACAGACGAGACTAGTTGGAAGGCTTCCGCAGTAACCCAGGCAGGAGTGTGGGCTGCCTGGTCCAGACCGGCCACAGTGGTATTAATGAGACATCTTCTAGGGTCTTGGGTGGATTTTGAAGGCAGAGCCTGTAGAATTTGGTCCCTAAATATGCCTGGGGGTGAAAAAAGGAGACGAGAATGAGCCTGTTTCTGGCCTGAGTTGCAGCTGATGGACGCGAGGAAATGTAAGAGGCGCTGAGGTGCCAAGATGTTCAGTATGTGTCTGGCAGGCACCCTGGGAGGTAGCCAGTGAGCAGGCAGAGGTCATGGTCTGGGTCTTCAAGAGGCTCGAGCTAAAGATCCATGTTTGGGGGACACCGCAATACAGGTGGTACTTAAAGTAATGGCACAGAGAAGGTGTGAAAGGAAAGGGCTTTGCTGTGGAGAGGAGAGGGGAGAGTCCTAGCCCAGGAGATGGGTGTGCAGAGGGAGGGTGCACACCCCCAGCTGGCATCATCTATCTTTCCGTGTGTGTGTTTTTGTTTTTGTTTTAATTTTTCATTAAAGAAGTTTTTTTTTTTTTTTAATTTATGTCAATTAAAAAACACAATACTGTTAATTTTTTCTTTAATTCCCAGTGGTATAATTTGGCCAACTGAAGTGCCAATCTATTCTATTGATGGAAACTAAGCTGTGGGGATGTCCCATGGGTAGGAGGGCTGCTGTAGCTGATGGCAGTGACTCCCTCTGCATCATGATGGATGCCTACAGACAGGCAGCTCACCTGAGGTGCTGCCCCCTGAGCTGTTTGTAAGACTTCTAATCTCCTTCCTTTCTCACTTGAGCCGTCTCATTCCGTTTGCATCTTAGATAAAAGAAATCGGCTGGTCGGATGTTGGAGGCTGGACGGGACAAGGTGGCTCCATTCTTGGGACAAAACGGTAATTTCCCTTCTTGATTCGGACCTGCTTTTACGAGGAAGAAAGGGCCTCGTTCTAGAGGAGGAGCTGGGGCCGTTGCTGGGAAAGCTCCGCGTCCTGGCCCCGCCCAGCAGGCCCCAGTGGTTAGGGCTGAGAAGTGACCATGTGCTCCCAAATCTCTCCTGGGCCTCAAGGAGAGAAAGCAGGTGGCCGGCAGGAATCCGCCTCAGGGGACGGGATGATGATGAGGGACATCACTGAGCTGCAGGGACCGTGTGTGTAGACCAGGGTCAGAGCAGGTGGACAGTGGCTTAGTGCCTGGGCACAGAGCAGAGTGGCACCTACCCTGGAGGCCAGTCCCAACATGTTTCTGAGTCAGTAAGCCTCCGTTCCTCACAATAGCTGGTGGTAGAAGGTGCATTTTAACCAGACACCGTGTGCTTTATGTGCCGTCCTGGCAAAGCTCTGGGTGAGCTGGCAACCCCTCCTGACGATGCTTCGAGAGCTTTATCTTAGACGCGGGGGGACCCTTGCCGTGACACACGCCTGCTGGCTGCCCTGACTGCCCAGGCCTGGACATGTTTGCCCTGCAGCTTCCTATTGGTCTACCAATAGCACCGGCACGGTGTCCTCCCGGCTGCAAAATGGAATGGCTGGGCCAGCGTTTGGGGGGGCTCTTGGGAAGAGTCTATCCCATGTCTGACTTGGTGGCTGTGTGTGAAATGGGAGAACAAATACGAGTGGATGTGACTTTAAAGGAGATGAAGTTGTATAAAGTATAAAAGTGGAAGTTTCCCTTTAAGTGATATTTGTTGTGAATATTTGCAAGTTATCAGGGTGTGTTTTTTCTAATGAGGCTGCGTAATTCTGTTGAGGTGAAGCTACTGAATAGCTGGGAAGTTTCTCCTTGTTTTCTTTTGAAAACACAGCTCTTAGGGACTTGCTCCCTGGCCATCTCTGCCATGGGCTGCTCCCCCACATGCTTCCCCCCTGCCATAGGGAGGAGGGAGCCACAGGGAGGGGGGAGCCACAAGGAGGGGGAAGCCACGGGGAGGGAGGAGCCACGGGGAGAGGGGAGACATGAGGGGGCGGGAGCCATGGGGAGGGGGGAGCCACGGGGAGGGGGGAGCCAGAGGGAGGGGGAGCCACAAGGGAAGGGGGAGCCACGAGGGAGGGGGAGCCACGAGGGAGGGGGGAGCCACGGGGAGGGAGAGCCACAAGGAGGGGGGAGCCACGGGGAGGGAGGAGCCACGGGGAGAGGGGAGACATGAGGGGGCGGGAGCCACGGGGAGGGGGGAGCCACGGGGCGGGGGAACCAGAGGGAGGGGGAGCCACGAGGGAAGGGGGAGCCATGAAGGAGGGGGAGCCACGAGGGAGGGGGGAGCCATGAGGGAGGGGGAGCCACGGGGACGGGGAGCCATGAGGGAGGGGGAGCCACGGGGAGGGGGGAGAATTGAGGGAGGGGGAGCGACGGGGAGGGGGGAGCGACGGGGAGAGGGGAGCCGGGGAGAGGGAGCCACGGGGAGGGGGGAGCCAGTGGGAGGGGGGAGCCAGGGGAAGGGGAGAGCCAGGGGCAGGGGGGAGCCGGGGAGGGGGAGCCACGGGGAGGGGGAGCCACGGGGAGGAGGGAGCTGGCCTCCCACTGCAGCTGCCCCAGCGCCACACGGAGCCGGGGCAGGCGGCCGCCAGGGTGCTGGCAGTGCTCAGTCCACCCTGTGAGCCTGTCTGGCCTCATCTCTCTGGAACTACTTTCAGGATCCTCCCCGCGAAGTACTTGAAAGACATCGCTTCACAGATGCGCGCCCACAGCATCAACGCGCTGCTCATCATCGGTGGGTTTGAGGTACGTCCGCTCCGTTCCCGGTTGGCTCTTCCACTCCGTAGGCTTCAGTGGTGGCCCGTGCCGGCTCCACCGAGCTCCCCACCAACTGCGGCCTAGCACTCCAGGTCCACCTGCCTGCCACGGGACAGCGGTGAGGCAGCGCGGAGCAGGGGTGGGACTCACCCAGCGGGAGGCGACCCTGAGTCCTGGACAGGCCCCTCTGTCCTGTGAGTTCTGGAGTCTCCCAGGCCAACAGGAATGAGTCTCTCCCCTGAGGCTGCAGTCCATGGCCATTCAGAGAGAAGGGGGTTATGTGGCCAGCTCATTTGTTTTATCCCATATTGGACTGTAGGCTTAATTTTTTTCTTTTTCTTTCTTTTTTTTTTTAATATATCTTTTACTTCAGAGAGGGAAGGAGAGGGGCAGGGAGAGAGAGATAGAAACATCAATGATGAGAGAGCATCATTGATCATTTGCCTCCTGCACACCTCACCCTGGGAGTCGAGCCCCCAACCTAGGCATGTGCCCTGACTGGGAAGTGAACTGTGACCTCCTGGTTCATAGGTCGACACTCAACCACTGAGCCATCCCGGTTGGCATTTTTTTATTTTTTATTTTTTTTCCTATTCAACCAGGATCAGTCCCAGGATAACCTTATGGTTTCCTTTCAAGAAAATTCAAGTCTCCAGTACCAAGACACTTGTCAATAGGAGCCTTGGTCTTTCGTCTACAGGACGAGGTTCCCTGGGTCCCTTTTTGCTTAAAGAACTGCTTGTCCCTGTCATGACCTTCATGTGTTTCCACGTTGACTCCCTAGTGGTCCTATCGGTGCCCCGCTTCTGCCCGCCCCCCAACTGTACACGCTTGTCCCACAGGCCTACCTGGGGCTGCTGGAACTGTCAGCCGCCCGGGAGAAGCACGAGGAGTTCTGTGTCCCCATGATCATGGTTCCCGCCACCGTGTCCAACAACGTGCCGGGGTCCGATTTCAGCATCGGTGCCGACACCGCTCTGAACACCATCACTGACGTAAGTCTGCGTGGCAGCACAGCAGGTGCCGCGGGCCTCGCCGAGGGCACTAACCGAGGGCGCCTGGCCCGTTTTTATCTACCAGTGCACTAGAGACGCGGGGGCCGGGTCGGAGGCGTTGGTTTGTCTCCAGAAAAGTATTTCTTAAAAATCTGACCCAGCTCCCAAAGATCTGTACCCCGTCTTTCCTGGGCTGCGCCGGCACCGTGTACCTGGGTGACAGAGCATGGCAACTCCAGCAGCCAGCTGCTGCGCTTTGTGATTTTGACGATCATTCAGATTAGTTTTGTGGGGCTCTTTGGCTGCAGTATAATTCTCACCTCTGCCACATTGCTGTGATGAGTCTGGGTCCGACTGAATAGCGGGCTGCGTGGGGATAGACCCTGAGCGGAATATTTTGCAATTTTATCCATCACCCTGACCCCTCTTTGGTGTTCATTATTCTTTTACCTGAGCCAATCAGCATCATCGTTCTCCATACAGTGGATTGGGGATGTTAAATCACATCTATAGCATATTGGTACTAATTAAGGTTGGGTTTTTGTTGTTGTTGTTTTGTCTGTTAAATGGCAATAACGTAGAAATGTATTCTTATTATTGTATTTGCAAGTCTCACTTGGTGAAATGCCACGTGAGTTTGCGAGTTTGCAGATCAGCATCTAACATAACAAGTTGTTTTGTTGTTGTTGTTTTTTAATTCAGTGCCTACATTTTTTTCAGTAAATTCTGAAGTTTAGTTTTCCTTCTGATACTTAGGTCTTCTGAATGATTTTCTAAGATCCCTCTACCCCCACCCTCCCCGCCCTTAAACCCAGGGCATCCGTTTTGTTTCTAGTGCTGGTAAATAAAAATAAATGCTTTTAAAATAAAATTCACTGGTAAGTAATGCTCACTGAGTGTCTGCTGCTTGTCTGAGAGCTTCCTAAACTTTCTGTGATCTTTCCACTAAAAAGCCGGCCCGGTGTCGCTGTGTCCCTGTGCTGGAGGCCCGCGCTGTGTGCACCCCTGACCGCTTGCTGGCCCTGCTCCTGCTGCCTGTGACTCCCTGCTGCCTCCCCTGCTCCGGCCCGCCCTCCCCTCACGGACCCTCCGCTGTGAACCGCAGGTCCTGTCTGTCCCCGCGTGAACCCCACCTTCGCTTGTCGCACTCTTTTCCCTGCCTTTGCTGGATTTTGAATCTGATTATGCTGAGCTTGTAGTTGATGCAACTGGAATTAACTCTTCCTAACTGTTACCTAATCAGAACCCTGGAGGCCGGGGGTGGGTGGGGTTTGACCAGCGTCTCTGCGGATCCTGCCAAGGCTGGCCTCCGTTCCTTGTGGCATTTGATGCCCACTTTAGGCACAAAAACAGGGCTCTCTGGCTTTGTAATTCTAGGCTCCTCAGCTACAAGGAATCTCCATCCCCCACCCCCGATGCCATCAGATTATGAAGTAATACTCATATGTATGTTGTTGAAAATGTGGAAACCAGCTGTAGCCGGTTTAGCACAGAGGATAGAGTGTCAGTTCCTGGACTGAAGGGTCCCGGTATCAATTCCAATCACGGGCACATATCTAGGTTGTAGGCTCGACCCCCGGCCTTGGGACAGGCCAGGGTGCCTTTGCCAGTGAGCCAGGTGTTCTCGGTGGTGCCACGGTTCTGGTTCTGGTTGGTGATCTTGGACGATGGGAAGTCAGGACAACCCCTCGTGGGCCCGCTCAGGGTATCCTGGGACTGCACGGACCAAGGTATGACACAGTGTGAGGAAACTGCTGTTTCTTCCTGCGTTCTGTTTGTTAAAGCCAAAATGAGGCTGGATCCTCAGGAGGACCGGATTCAGGCCCAGAATGCCAAAGGTGCTCAAGGTGAGACTCCCACGAGGGGCTCCGGTTATCGGCTGTTGGGTCTGCATATTGTGTCATCGTCCTCAGGGCCCTTCCCTCTGCCAGCACTTAGCTCAGCTCACAGGTGCGTCGCGGGAACCTGCTCTCAGTGCACTTGCCTGTCAGAAAGAGGTCGGTGTCCAGGCCAGGGCAGGCATTTGGAGTCCCTGTGCTGTGGCTACAGGCTTTACAAGGGATGCTGTCCACCCCCAGAGCCCGACAGTGTTCAGCCACAACACAGCACCGTGTGCTGAGCTCCGTGCAGGCAGCCGCAGCCACAGCCCTGCCGACAGCCCGGAATTGTGAGGGAGGTTCTGTCACACCTTCCATGACAGTGACAGGCGGTTTTCCCAGCTTCTCCATCTCGGAGCGCCCACTTCAGCTCCACAGATGCTCTGGCACCTCTGTCCTGTCCCTGGAATGATGCCCCTTCCCGAGCTCCAACCCGCCCGGTGCCCACTCGGTATCAGGCTCTGGTCATTGTCAGACGAGCGTGGCTGGTGAGTGGGCACAAGGCCTCTGCTGTGGGTGTGGTCCTCCTCCTGTCACAGGGAGAGGAAAGCAGCCTAGCAGGGCCCTGACGGTGACCACCTGGCAGTGGCACCGACAGCTCCTTCAGATCGTCACATCTCGTGAAAGCCCTGACTCTGTTTCAGGGCCCTGCTCAGAGTGGCACAGTCCCTCCGAGGCCCAATGGGGATGCGGGGAGAGGACAGGAAGGGCTGGGGTTAGAACCATTTGCCAGAGTTTCTTGCTCTGGAACTGATGGGCACGTCTGAGCTTCTTGCTCATTTTCTCACAAAGCTGAGGCAGGAGGTGGGCTTGCCCTCAGCCTCCAGCAGCGGGGTGGCCTCCATCCCAAGCTGGAGGCTCCCACAGGCCTTGCAGTTCCTGCTTTCAGGTAAAATTCCGTCATAGACAGACCCTTAGAGCAGTTACCGGCCACTGGGGGCACCATTGGCATCTCCTGCTGCCGTCCTACTTCTGCCCTCGGCTGCACCTGCATGTCACCCAGCTTCGCCACTGCCCTATGCTTTGCTAGGCGGGGACCCTCCTGGCCGTGGCCAGCCTGGTCTGGACCCCACATCCAGCCTACGTTCCTTCTCCTGGGAGCCCAAGTCATGGGAGGCCACCTCCTAGCCCGCTAACGGGACAGGACTGACAAATCCACAAACCCAGTCTTTTGTATCTTGCACCATTCCAACTGCCACTTTATCCTTTCACATTCGACTTGCATTTTAATAACTCCAGTATGTTAGTGGCATAGGAATTGTCATATGGAGATTTTCCTCCAGTGGGACAGGACCCAAAGATTTCTCTCGGGGAATCGTCTGTCAGCCGCTGAAAGGGGTCAAGGTTCACCAGAGGCTGGAGGGGCTGGTGGGGCATCCAGTCCAGGTGGGGGCATCTGCCCTACCCGATTCCATCCTCTCACCCAGAGCCTGCCCCTCCCCTCCACATGCCACCCCCTCACTTGTCAGGACTGCTTTTAGTAATGGAATGCGACTGGCTAGAATACCGTACTATTTTTAGAAGAAAGGAATTTGGACCCTCAGACACAACCCAGGCGCGCAGAGGGAGGGGTTAGGAACGGCGTGCCTAAGCAGCAGGCAGCGGCGGAGGGTGCCGGCCAGCGGCCACTGCTGACCCCTGCGGCTCATGGAGAGCGGAATCTTGGCTCACAGCCGACGCCACTGGCGCTCCTGACCTTTGCGGGGTTGGTGCAGAGATGCACATGTTCCTACTGGCCTCACAGGGGAGCTGCTTTGTGGGCATGTTCTTCTGCCATCAGTGGCAGTAACTTGTTTTCCACATTGGTGATAAGGATCTCCGCCTCAGGAGGCCTTCCGGGGGGACCCTGTAACTCTGCAGCTCGGGGGGACCTGGGCATCCGCCCATGTGTGCAGCCCTGTTCCATCCCAGCCCCCAGAATTCCTCAGAAATGGGAGACAGACTGTGCAGGGCAGTGTCAGTGCTGGGTGCTGCCTCAGAGCCAGGTGAGCACTTACGAGCATGCTCAGGTCCACCCTTCCAGGCCTCCAGGGGCCTGTTGGTCCATCCCCGGCCAGCGTCAGGCAACAATTACCCTCCTTGGTGCTATGTCCTCCTTCCCTCCCAGCTCCTAAAGATTACAAAGCATGTGCTGCATCTGGAATAATTGATTATTGTGATTAATTATTAGGGGAAGGTGAGGTTCCACCCAAGAAATGGACAGCCTCGTTAGGAGTGACAGCAGGTGGCCCCGTGTGTAGAAATCAGAATGCTCTCACAGGTCATACAAAACACTCACGTGGAAATGTCCGAATCAATATACTTTTGTGTACAAACCTCCTCCTCTTGCCCCCTAAGATTCATGACCCCTGGTCTTGGGCCCACCACTCCCCAGGCTCCTTGTGATTTCCCGGGCTCACCACTCCCCAGCCTCCTTGTGATTTCCCTGGAGATGCAGGATGGTTTAGTCCCAGGAATTCGTGCCATAGGCTTCACAGGGATGGATGGGGTGCTTTTATTCCAATCACTGCCAAACATTGATTGAACCCCAATTTTGTCCCAGGCATGGCTGCATGTGAGCCCAGCCTGTGACTGGTGAGGGAGACACCCCAGGTCAAATAACTATACAGAAGGTTGCAGGAAGGCGGGCCAAGGTCGTTTTTCAAAGAAAGGCATAATTGTCGGGGGAGCTCTGCATGGGACTTGTCTCGTCCTGGCGGTCAGGCAGTTTTCCTGAGGGAATGACACTCCCGTCTGGGTCATGTTGAAAAGGCAGGAAGAGGCTACACTGGCTCTTTAGCTGCCAGATGATCTAGATGATTTCCCTGGGCCGAGGCCACAGTGTTGGCAGGCGTGCACCCTCCATCAGCTCTGGGAGAACCTGTTCTGCTCTTCTGGCTCCCAGAGCTGCCGCTCGCTTGGCCTGTGATCCCTTCTCATTTCGAGGCCTACAGGCAGCATCTTGCTACAGTGTGACCTGACCTGTCCCTGGTCAGCCCATCCTCTGCGTGCCTCTGGGGGCCGTTACCCAGCCCACCACGGGCATGTGTGTGAGGGCCCCGGAGCAGGACAGCGCTGGAGTGGGCTGCCCCGGGGGGAGGTCCGTAGGAAAGCTGTGCGATACTCGAGGAAGAAGGAGATGTTACTCGATGCTGAGGAAGGCAAGGGTCACATCAGAGCGTTTCATAGACAGAACTGGTCGGAGGCTCGGTGGGTTGAGAAGAGAGGACAGTGTGTGAGTGTTCTGTGTGCTGAAGAGATGATGGCTGACATTTCCTTAGGAGACTTGCCATCCTGTGTGTCTGGAAGATTCATGTGGCCTTTGTCTAGGAGCCACTGTCCACCTCAGTAGAGGTGCTCTGACGTAGGTTGAGGGTGATCCAACCCAAAAGTAATGGAGGGGGGTGGAGGGGGCTACTATTCATTTATTTTAATTTTTCATTGATTTTTTAAAGAGAAAGGAAGAGAGGGACAAAGAGAGAAATACTGATAGCTGCCTTCTGCATGTCCTCTACTGGGGATCAAGCCCGCAATTTGGGCATGTGCCCTGACTGGGAATTGAACCAGCGACCTTAGTTCATGGGTTGACCTCGACTGAACCTCCCCAGCCAGGCTTGGTAGCCTTTTAGAAGAAAACCAAATAGAACTTCCTAGTGACTAAGGTCAAGACCGAGGCCAGCCATCTCTGCCCCTACGTGGCAGACACTCAGGACCTGCGGGGCTCTTGGCTGCTCCCGGCCCAGTACCGGCCGGCTACGTGTTGGAATAACCCGTCCTTCTCTGTGTCCAGACGTGCGACCGCATCAAGCAGTCCGCCAGCGGGACTAAACGCCGTGTGTTCATCATCGAGACCATGGGCGGCTACTGTGGCTACCTGGCCAACATGGGGGCCCTGTCGGCCGGGGCTGACGCTGCCTACATCTTCGAGGAGCCCTTCGACATCCGAGACCTGCAGGTACGTGGTGTGCTTGTCTCCGAGTCCTTCCATGCTGCCTTTGTTGTTGTTGTTTTTATTTATTTATTTATTTATTTATTTATTTATTTATTTATTTATTTATTTATTTTTATTGATTTCAGAGAGGAAGGGAGAGAGATAGAAACATCAATAATGAGAGAGAACCATTGTTCGGCTGCCTCCTGCACACCCCACACCGGGTATCAAGCATGTTCCCTGACCGGGAATCAAACTGTGACCTCCTGGTTCATAGATTGGTGCTGAACCACTGAGCCATGCCCCAACCCTGTTGGTTAGATGGTGCAATACACCAGGTCGTAGGCACTTCCAGTGCTCCTCCCCCGGATCCAGGTTGTGTGCAGAGGCACTGACTCTGTGGTAGAGCTCTATGTGCGGTGACAGCGTGAGCTCATGGGTCTGGCAGCTTCCACTCCCCCAGGATGACAGTTCCCTCCGCTGAGCAGTCACTGTTTCCGTAGTGGGTCACCAGCCATCTGACCAGGGCTTCCCAGGGTAAGCACTGGGCTCCCGAGGCTTCCAGTGCCTGTGGTCCGTGCAGGGGTTAACTCCCCTTCCTGGAGCCCAGCGGCCCCCAGGACAAGCAGCTCTGTCCACTATGAATGTGGGGTTACATGAGGGAATGTGTGGCACCCCCCACTCTGTGTGGGACACTTAGTGGGCACTGCGCTATAAACAAAATGGAAACTAGGCTTACCTCCTGCCCTTCCCTGCAGCTCACTTCCTTGTTTTTCTCATTAGCAGGTTCTGTTTATTTTAGAGCAGTTTTAGGCTCACATGAGAGATTTCCCATATATATACACAGGGCAGCCTGCTCACCCAGCACCCCTGCCAGAGAGGGACCCATGCTGGAGTCGAGGGACCCACACTGACATGCCATCAGCACCCCCAGTTCCAGCAGGGTTCACATGAGGGCTCACTCGGGTGTCACTGCTGCTTTTAAATGGTCACATCACGATGGCTATTCTAAACGGATAAGGGTCCCCAGGGCTCCCAGCTATCAGTGGAGGCTAGCGGGGCAAGCACAAGTTAGTTTGGTGGCTCAGCCCAGGCATGGGCTGGAGGTCAGTAAACACAGCTGAAATACACAAAAGCACAAATAAAACAACTTTGTAAAAGCTATGATTTTGTTATTTCTGTACCGAATAAATCAAATGGAGAGGTACTTGATGTTTTTACTGATCTGTAATTGTTTTTTATCTTGACCTATGAATTTCTCTTCAACATTGAGTTAAACATTTATACTTCACACACCTGCCTAACAACAGTGCCTCACCATCCCATTGCCATTGCTCTCGGCACATAGTAGGTGCTAACAAATGTAATGATGACTGGAATTTGCTGGTATGTAAATACCTCATTTTTTGCATATATTTTCCCCCAAGATACAGTATTCCTTTCCTTAGGGAATTTCTGCACAAGTTTGAGTCTAGAAAAATTTCTCTTGGCCTGGAAATGCTCGCTAGGCAATCATATGTATGCGATTCTCTTTAAAGTGAGGTGACAGATATTTTCCTCTGAGATAAAAAAAAAGTGTTGTCATGAAAATAGGTAAGCAGCAATAAAGTAAAGTTATAAGCTTAGGCAGGGACATGAATACACGGATTAAGGTTCTAGGATGGAAACCTGTTTTGGAAAGTGTTTTCCATGGAAGCTGAGCTCCACCCCCTACACATGCCTGTAACATAACCTTGTCTGTAATCTTCCCCACAGGGCTTGTCACTACCTGATGTGATTTCTGTTGTCCTCACCACCAAAATGTCAGCCCAGAGTAGCTGCTATGTTCAGCGGTTAGGGTCGCACAGTAGGTGCTTAGTAGGTTTCCCATGTGACTAACGGAGCACTCTTTCCTAGAGCAACGTGGAGCACCTGACAGAGAAGATGAAGACCAGCATTCAGAGGGGCCTCGTGCTCAGGTAACAGATCCCGGTTCTCATCTAAGACCTGGCTGCTCAGAAATCACCCGCTTTGTGATCTAAAATGGGGTGGGGGGGCTTCTTCACCTCCACCCTGGGTCCCGCTGGGAGGATGCAGTGGAGATGTTGGGCTTGTGCGAAAAACTTGCATGTACTCACATGAGTGGAGGGTAACCTTTAAAAATTCATTTCTGCTTTATAATTATTTATACTACGCCACTGACATTTATAAAGAGAAGAAAATGTGTGCATTTGTGTACAGGATCAGGATTGAGGCGGCTATAACGTTCTCTCAAGCGCCCTTGGGACAGATGCCCCCCTCCCTGCCCCCCCAGCCCTGAGCCCTGTGCTTCCCGTTTCAGAAACGAGAGCTGCAATGAGAACTACACCACCGACTTCATCTACCAGCTCTACTCAGAGGAGGGCAGAGGGGTGTTCGACTGCAGGAAGAACGTGCTGGGCCACATGCAGCAGGTAGGGCCGGCCCCCCATCCCTCACCAGGGGCCCATGGGTCCCACAAAACAGAAAGGGAAGCTGTTGGTGTGACTTCCTTTTAGATGGATGCCTTATTTTAGCCATTGTGGGTAAATGATGTGCATTCTTAAATAAAGTCCAAGATGATTAAAAACATCTGAACTATGTTCCAGTCCCAGTTAGAAGTCACACCGGAAATTCTGTTGTGAAATTTTGGTAGATGGGTGTTTTAAGGAAAAAGGTCAACTTTCATATGATACCCATTAATTGGAAAAACTTATTCAAAGTATCTTCTTCAATACTGGGCAAAAATAAGCATTCAAATAGGAGCATCAAACAAGGGATACTTGCAGGGAATCAGAACGAGGTGGAAAGAATTCAGGGCATGCTCTATAAGATGACAGGCAGGGGTGGGCTGGAAGCACTGGCCCTACCTCCTGACCACACGCCTGCCCCCATCCCATCACTACTGACCCCTCTGGTGCCTTGGGAACTCCTAACTTTGGGCCCATTGCTCACTTCAGAGGGTCCCTGAATTTCCTGAATCTATGATGCAATGCTAGGCAGGTGTGTATTTTGTGAAAGGAAACTGGGAACCCCCTCCCCATCCCAACGTAAGGTTAAGGAATCCTGACAGAATATTTAAAATGATGATGAGGACCCGAAGGGGGAGAAAGCACTGTGGCACACGCCTCGCAGGCTCAGCTTCGCCGGCAGCAGTCACGGGCTTGCTTTTGTCTGGTCCCAGCTATCCACAAGGAGATAACATTTAACAAAACAAAACAGACCCTCCAAGCCCATACTTACAAATGTGTGATGTGAATTTTGTTAGTCATTTTATTTCCACTTCATTTTTTAAAATAATTATCCGGGAAGATGCGGTTGTCTAATTAACATATAACCACCCACAGGGAGGAGCGCCTTCCCCGTTTGACAGAAACTTTGGAACCAAAATCTCTGCCCGGGCCATGCAGTGGATCACGGGGAAGCTGAAGGAGATGCAAGGAAAAGGTGTGGAGTGGCAGGGTGGCCTGTGCTGGGGCTGCTCACGGAGTGATGCTTTCACTCTGACTCTGCGCTCGCTAGTTATGGCTTTCAGGGTTATAATTAGGTGTCAATGTAATTAGCAGGAAATGCTTTGTTCCTGTTGATCCGAGATGGGAGGCATCAGGTCATTCAGTGACACTCTCCGTTATTTAACAAAATTGCCGTTCACGACCAGGCTCCTCTGCAAGACCCAAGATGTGACCTCTCCTTGTTTTCTTTCTTTGCCACCTGCACCACTTTGGACTGGCCCCTAAAGTGGTGTTTCATTCATGACTCCTTTTTAGAGCAGGCAAGGAAGGAGCAGAGGTAGCTAGACTGTTTTCTCTGTCCACCTAAGTGTGTGCCTCTCTCATACTTCACCCTCCCCGCCCCTCGGCAGAACCTCGGGTTGTGGGAACCATCCCGTCGCTTCTTTCAGAGTTCACAGTGTTATTAGTCCAGCTCTGAGTAGGGAATACCTTCAATAGTTTGGGACTACAAATTCTTAGTAACATTTGACTGAAGTCATTCTCTCTGCTACTTATTGCTTGCTCTTGGATACTCTGTTCACTACATACTTTTAAATGATGAAAGGATCTTATATACTTTTTGCATCATATGGGATGGTCATTTAAGTCTTAATGCATTTCCTAGTGTTAAGGCCACTTTGCCTTCCTGGGGGAGTTCTCCTCTCTCCCGGCCCCCCCCCTCCCCCCGCCCTCCGGGCTTTTGCTTTGGCCATTTCCTGCTCATCCTGTCCCTGTCAGGTACAAGGTCAGGTTTGTCCTAACTTTCTACATCAGGGGTTCCTCTCAGAAATAATTTGTAAGATGTTCTGATTTTTAGATCAAAGGTTCTGTCACTTTCCCTGTAGGGTAGGCGGAGCTGACCTGCTCAATTTCTTTACTTTTTATAGAACTATCTCTGTTTGTTTCTTTTTTGTTTGCTCATTTTTTGTTGGTCTTTTTTCATGTTTGTTTCTTGCATCCCTTTTGTAAGTTATGTTCTCAAGGAACTTTTCAAGTTCATCTAAATTTTCAAAAACTTTGACATGAAGATTTACATCATATTCTCTGTTTTTGATGCTGGCAGCCCTTCTGGTCCCATCACTGCAGGATTAGTGACTGTGCCGGTACCTGTATGTCCCTCCCCTCCGTTTTCTTGACCAATCTTCCCAGGTCTGTGTGTTTCAGTGTATTTCCAGTGTTTGACTTATGCAAGCACAGCAATGTAAAGTTTCAACTTCATTTTAGTCTTTAGGCTTTGGTTTTTTTCTACTAATTTTTTTTTTTTACAGTAAGTTCTATTTTTGTATTTCATCCTTTAAAAATAAATCTGGATTTTTCTTTTCACTGGTCCTCTAAGGAAGCTCACCTCACCAATTCCCAGCTGCTCACAGTATGTGCAGTCATGAGTGTACTTGCTTACTAGCACGTACCTGAACTCTTGCTGCAGTTTAAGCCCATCTTCCCAGTCCAGTACTTAGTGAGCTACGTCTGTACCACCTTACTCTCCATGGGGTGTCTCATGGCCACGCACAGCTAACAGCTCCTGTTGGGGCTAATGTGGAGCGAAGGTGCCCCATCATCTCTGCCTCTTTCCCCTGATCCTTGACGGGGACTCACGGGGTGTTCTCCACCCACCTTGTCACAGCCCCAAGGGTCCTCAGAGTCTGGCTTCTGCCCAGGGAGGATGTGAGAAGTCCCAATTCTTCAGTCTCCTCACAGGATTCTGCTCCCTCCCATCAGCAAACCTTCTCTGGCCACTTTGCTGGCCTCACTGGCCATTTCACCTGACCTTTCCACCTTCTCAGGTCACTTTCTGTCCTTTATAGGAAGAAAGTTCGTAACGGATGATTCCATCTGCGTGCTGGGAATAAACCAAAGAAACCTCCTTTTCCGACCCGTGGCAGAGCTGAAGGAAGAGACAGACTTTGAGTAAGTAAACCTTACTGCAGGTAGAAGGAATAGGGACAAGAGTCACGGACAGAGGGACGCCACCGCCTTAGTCACTGTTCTCACTGCTGCCGCCTCTCATCCGCAGGCACCGAATTCCCAAAGTGCAGTGGTGGCTGAAGCTGCGGCCCCTCATGAAGATCCTGGCCAAGTACAAGGCCAGCTTCGAGGTCTCGGTACCGAGCCAGTTGGACCACGTTCACTTTGGCCCCGAGGAGCCTGCAGCCATCTAGGCGCCACCGCCCGCCAGCGATTCGATTCGTCGGACTTCCTGTTTACTGCCCGTTTTTGTAACACTTATGTTATTTATCAGTATCAGCACTTTATGTGAGTACTGTGGACGTTAATCCCCAGTCACAGAGCACCGCCCCGTACCCTTCTCACCCCCGTTGGATCCAGTGAGTTGTCTGCTGTGTCACATACTGTCTCCCGCTTTACCATGTGCATTTCCAGTGGGATTAAACATTTGGCTGAAACTGAGACCACGGGACTAAGTGCCTTTACTTTTTTTTTCAGTAGGCGTTAACCCTCAGGTTCTGGGGGCAGCTACCGAAGGTCTACAGGCAGTTTAGAGGGCAGGCACCAGTAATGTATTTGATAGGGATCAGGGAAGTAGGCTGCACAGCAGCAGTCACAGTGGGAAAGGCAATGCTGTGACATGCAGACCTGGGACCTGACAGGTGTGCAGAGAAGGCCCAGAGTAGGACCGCAGGTGAGGTGACCAACTCCAGCCACAGGGGCTCCTTTAAAAACACCACGAACACGTGCGTCGGGAAGAAGGTGAGCTTCTACACTTGACCTCAGCCCTAGCTGTTCACTGAGGAAGGTGAGGTATGCTACCAAGAGTGTCTGGAGTGAAAAGCATTTCTGCCTCTTCTCCAGCCTCTGCTCTCTGGGGAGAGAGGAACCAGCCTGTGCACCAGCCATGGGGGAAGGAGTCGTGCAGAGTAGAGAAGGCGGATGATGAGAAATACAGGAAGACAACCGCAAAAGAGCCAGTGTCCCAGTAAAGCGAGTCAAACCAATGTTGAGCTCCCCAGTGCACATGAACGCTATGCTTACACTATACTGCAGTCTACTAGGTGTGTGAGAGCAGTATGTCTAACTAACTGTACAAACCTTAACTAAAAAATACTTGATTGCTTAAAAATGCTAAGGACCATCCGAGCCTGCTGGAAAGGGCGCTGACAGCCCTGCTGGGTGCAGTGGCCACTCAACTCCTGTGTGTGGAGTGCAAATGCGCACACCTGTGCAACACAGAAGGCGCTCTGCCAGTGGCCGTGTTTAGGATGTGAGGATAACATGAGAAGTTCACCTTCTGTCTGAAAAATGTAAAGTGAGTAACATATGAGAGCCCTTCAGTAAAGACAAAATGGGAACAAGTTAACACTATTACCCTCAAACACATTCATTTTTTTTTTTTTTTAAATTAAAGGTCTTATGAACTACTTGGCAAAATGTCATTTAAAATAACTAAAGCACAGGTAGGTCGGAGTTGCCTTTTATTTTACATAAATGTTCTTTCATTATTAGAAAGTCTTTCAACAGCTGTGCACCTTGGCATTTAATACATGATTTCCATTTCTTCATGATCGCCCACTTCCTTCTTTAAGATAGAAGAGTTTGGGGCTGACCTGACAGGCAAGTACACACCTTTGGCAAAACTTTAAGATTGATAAATGAGGAAGATACTTGGCTCGGCATACTTCTCCGAGGCCCCTGAGCCATGTTAGCCGTGTCATGAGCACGGAACTCCTTGTCATCTGACGATCCAGGACGGGTCCTTGGCGATCTTCGGGTTCTCTGGTCCCAGCAGAGCCAGCCCGTGGGTGCTCCTTCCGACACCGAGGTACCTGAAAAGGCAGGTGGGGGTGGGGGTCAGACCGTTTCCACATCATGTGCCCTCAGGTTCACACTTGAGGCCACGTGGCAGTACTCACTTGTTGCTCACTTCAATAAGACCTTCATGGTTAACGGCAAAGAGCTGTTCCCTGTGCGCTTGCTTCAGCTCATCTGAGAGGCCGTACAGGAAGTGGTCCAGCCCTGAAGGAACACAGGTGACTGGGGAAGCTGGCAGGGACAGCATGTGGCAGCTGACCCTATTCCACAGACCGTCTTCCTAGGGGGCTGACCCTGACCCAGGCCCCTTTGGGGAAGAGGATGGAGATGAGTGTGGGCCGAGTCAGGATGGTCTCTGCCCCACTCCAGTTGCACTGCCCAGAGCACTGGCAGCTCACTGAAGCTCTGAGAAGGTGAAATACGGCCCCTTTCAAGCAGCAAACCAAGATGCTCAGCCTCAAGGTGTGTCACAAAGGAGGCGGCGGCGGGAGGTGAGGTGAGGTGGATACACATCTTGGGAACTCAGCCCGGAGTTGTCTGTTTGCACCATCCATCCAGGTGCTTGTGTTTTCTACTCCACGTACCTTTATCCGAAGGAGCCACAGGAGCGTCCACAGCAGAGAACACAGACAGCTTGGCCTCGTCAATGTCCTGCTGTGAGAACTTCCCAGACTTGGCCCAGTCCACAGCCTTCGCAAAAGACTGGAGTGTTTCTGTGGAACGTGGATCCCTGGGAGACCCGAAGAGTTAGTTACTCATGTTTACAAAAATTAGCAACAATCACATGCTCACTTCACAGCTTCAACACTTTATAGCTGTTAATGGCTCTACTTTAAGCTTAGTCCAAAAATCAACACTGAAAATTTCAACCTGGCCACTGGCCATCTGACCCTCTCCCTGCCCTCGAAGACAGGGTCTGTTCACCCAGCCTCACACCAGGTTATTAAATGCACCCACTGAGACTTCCTTGGGAGGAAAAGTTGGTCTGAATGAGACTCATGGAGAAACGCTAAGAAAGGTTAAATGAAAACCCTGCTTTCCAAAGGACACACTCAGAATAGTGGAATCGTCACCCATATACGGGCCACTCCTGGAGCGCCAGCACTGTGTCAGCGGAAAGGGCTGCAGAGGCCTTTGCTCATACTACGGACTGTAGGACCGGGAGACAGGGCCTAAGGTGGTGGTTTCTGACCTGCAGCTCCCAGCCCAGACACTAGGAAATGCTCAGAAGTGTAGCAGTGAGGGGTAAAGAGAAGTGCCCTAGAGGCACAATGTGTCCTTTCCCTAAAATATTAGAATGCGTGTCTTCAGGCAGAGAAAGTTAAAGGGCAAGAGCAGTCAGTGGAGCCAGGAGCGCAGCCTCTACGATTCCATCAGCCAGAACACTGTTCAGGTCACCCTCTACTGAAACATGCTTGTCACTAAAAAGCCAGGATTCATTTAAGGAACAAAATTTCCTGTTCTTCCCTGCTGTCCTAACACCGAAAGGACAGTGCTGGGTGTGGTTAAGTGCCCAAGAGGTGGGGAAAGTGGGAACAACCTTTTCTCACGCTCACCCCACTGTCTGAGATATGATATTGAGGATTTGGAGCCAGTGACTGTCAGTGACATGACACTGTGTCCACATGTGCGAGATGGTCAGATAAGAGCTCACCTATACGAGTAAAAGGTGAATATTCCACTATGACTGAGTTTGGCACCTCCACCGTAAGCACCACCTTTTTCTCGAATTTCTGTGTGCAAGAATTTTGCAGTCATCAAACGTGCCAGGATCTTCAGACTGAAATAAATGATTAAAGAATGCAAATTAAAACCATGTCTGGCAAGGAAGTAAATTTAAAAGAATATCAAGTGTATAATCAGGTGAAGACAAAAATAAAGCAGTGGCTTGAATAACGGGTGGCAGTAGACACACCTTCCCCCAGACTCCTCTTAACCTCTTCCCACCACAGGGAGCATGTGAACGCTGCCACCACAACTTGGACCCCACATCAGTGTATGTATGTGCATGTGGAAGGCCCCTGACTTTCCGCAGCATCTTCCCTAGGGTTTCCCTTGGTTGGAGTGTGTGTTTTCTATGTCCCCACTAACTTCTATTATGAATGCTAATAGCTGAGGCCCTGGAAAGAGAAGGATGGTTCTGGAGAGCACTTCCCAAGAGAGCCACACCCAGTGTGACTGCCACCTGCAGGAGTGCAGGCTGCCCTGCTCTGTGTGAGCGCTCAGCCCAGCAGGGGACACAGCCTGGTGAGAAGCTGGAGGGAGAAGCATGTTCCTAAAGACGGGGCAGGCTCCACTCTGCCCACAGGGGTTTACCCTCCATGTGTTTTTCTTTAGAAACTTCTATTACTTCTATGTTACCTAATGAACACACATTCACTGTTGGAAAATTAGAAAATACAAAAAAGAGACAAAAGGTAACAATAATCCCACTACCCATAGATACCCCTTGTGACATTTTCATGGTCCAACTACATCTTTCTAGTCATAGAAATACACATTCCTACAGAGCATGCCTATTTCCTATGGATACGGAAATAAATCCACAGAAATGCTGAGCAATGTGACGCATTTCCTCTGGAGCTAGGGGCAGCTGCGTGCTTCATTCCTCTCCCTGACTCTCCTCTATGTGGCCATGCCCCCTCTTCCCCTCCGTGGAGTCCTGGTTTTCTTGCCCGCCTTGTTTGTACCTGGCGTGGTCAGGGTGCGTGTAGGGGGCAGTTCTGACACATTCGCCGACGTAGTTCACGGGGAACGGAAGCAGGAAGTGTGTCTTCATCTGGCAGGGCGTGAAAGTGGGCTCCTGTGGAGGGAAGGGAAGGCCCGGTCAGGCTGCGTCATGGGGAGTGGCCCACAGGTGCTTCCTGTACAGGTGTCACCTGGACTTCTGAATGTCCTACTTCCTGTGGGCATCACAGGCCATGGTCTCATCTGAGAGCAAGGCGCTGACAATCACACACACCACAAACCCGCAATAAGACAGCTCGTCCTACAATATTTCCGTTGGTCACTGACTGTGCGAGCTTTTCTTTCCTTTCCATCCATTTCTCTCCAGGAACACAGCGAGTTGTCCTCTCTGTGATGAGCCAAACCCAATGCCCAGATCACCAAGCTGAGTACTCGGGGCGGAAAACACTGTCCAATTGGTGGTGAATTAATACCGATTCGGCAGTAAAGTTACGATAGAGGCTTGGTAATGAGACCGCGTGGAGGGACAAAGGTCTGCATGGGCATCAGGATGAGACACAGGACTTCCTGGTCCTGCCTGCCAGCCATGAGGCACTGACTGGAAACCGGGAATGGGCCACCAGCCTCCCAAGAGCCAAGCTGGGCCGGCTAATTCTGGAATGATAAGGCTGTGTTCACTTACTGTGATCAGCTTTCTGATGACTTGGCATCCACTAACGTGTGTGCTTCCCCCACATCCGCCAGGCACAGCTTTCTGAAAATGTTTCCAGGAGAAATGAGAAAAATCCTAAATTCACTTCAAATAGCTAAGATGATACATTGCAGAAAATTCAGAGCTAATAAGTGTTAGGGCGCATTTGCTTTGGCGTTTTAAACATTTTAACTACATAGATTTCTATGTATTTTCAGATCATCTGGGAGCTGAGGCACCACACCCCTTCCAGGTGGGGC